GAACTTCATGTGCCAAATTTTGGAAAAGCTTTTGAGCACTTTTGCATACATGCTAGCAGGAGGACTATAATTCAAGCTGTGGAGAATAATCTGAGGCTGCAGAAGGAAGATGGAGAAGCTTCAAGGATGACACTTCATCTTCTACGGTTTGGTATGAGCTTTGCTACCTGGAGGTGAAAGGAAAGATGAAGAAGGGAGACCGGGTTTGGCCAATTGCATTCGGAAGTGGCTTTAAGACTAACAGTGCTGTATGGAAATGTATTTCAGATCTTAATCCTGATGTAAGAAATGCATGGTCAGATAGAATCCTTTTCTACCCTGTAAACATTCCAAATATTCTCTAAGGCTCTGACGTTGAAAATCATTCTTGAACTTACAAGGATCCTTCTGTATATACCCAATAATATTCACCTAATGTTAGAATCTATCTCAAGATTGCTATTATGCTGACAATAAATTGAAGTAAGAATAAAGATAGGTTGACAAACACTTCTCACAACTTTTTCTCACAAATACTGACGTGACAGCTCGTAATTGATCAGTTTGTATTTAGTCAGGTGAGACCCATTGTTTGACAGGTGAGACCCATTGCGAGCTGATCAATTACAAGCTGTCACGTTGCGTTTGTGAGAGAAAATTAGTAAAAAAAGTTTGTGAGTATAGTATTGCTGTTAAAGTAATCTTGACCTTGAGAAAAGATGTAGGTAAAGTATCCCAACATCTAACTTCAGATCTTCATGGTAAATAGTTTAGAGCCCAAATTTAGAACAATCTAATCCTGCCCAAATCCTAATCTTTCATGTACATCTTAATTTCTTCAATGCCAAAGATCTAACGGCTTGCACAGTGAGATTTACGAATTCAAAAGTACCAGCAGGAGATGCCAGATACTTTGGGCAGCCATTTTATTCTCAATAAATCACAAGCTAAATATCATGGCTGAAATTTCAAAAGATGCTATAGAAGTGTTTGAACTCTGCTATTTGCACAAAATAATGTTCATGCAAAGCATTTTTAGACTCACAAGAGATAATTCACCTCTTAAAATCTGACACTACCATCAATAACTTTAAATACAGAAGAAATCACATCAAGTATAAGTTGCAGCAGTAAACAATTGTGCAGAAACAGCATTCAATTAAACTACAAAAATTACTAGACTATCGTCCTCCAAATGAAATTTTGCCACATTCACTTCAAGGGGAAAAGCTAAAATTCCACGTCACTACTTGCTTCCTTCCAAAGAAGAGTGGTGCTCTTCTATCACAATATTCTCTCTCCTGTCAATCGTCCCTTCCAATGCAATTTGCCAAACCAATTTGGCTGCAATTGCAGTTTCTGAAGTATACAGGCATTGTTGGCATACAAAATTGATATAAAAAATTTCAGAAAATAATAATGGATCATTCATAGGCAGATGAACTGTCCATCTCTTAACAGTCAAATCAGTCAACAGCTTCAGTAGTTCTAAGAAAATGAGATCCCAACAAAAGCTATCAAGACAACTGATTACATGAAATGGTTAGGAGAGCTTTTTATTTTTATTATTATTATTATTTTTTCATTTAATCTAGTGTAGATACAACAATGCTAAGAATTTACATCAGCCAATCCTTAGTGGCTCGTTGGACAAATTAGGTTTAACCAAAACCTGGCTAAAACTTACTAATTCTAATATACAAGCAGTAGAATGCACTAAAGTATATATTACTCACCAGCCCCAGACCCAATGAGCAATTTCATAGCATGAAGGGGAACGAAATTAATTTCTCTACCTGGAACTCCTCTAATATAAACTTGTTCATCCTCTAGGGGACCTCGATGATTTTGACATCACATGCTGCTTCAACAATAAGTCAGCAATAACTTGTCGTCCAAATAAGTGTGAGTTTTTGAGAATCATGTTTCTTGTAGATGAATCAACAACATAACCTTGACCTGATATCCAATCTAGTAATTGAAGGAGCAATTCTTTCTTTTCAGGTTCCGCAATATAGCATGATATGGCCATGTGAAATTATCCCTGAGAATAAAAGAGTAGAAAAAAATTTAAAGAATATGTAACATCTTAAAAGGTCAACTGCAGAACTTTGAGAACATGCATAAGTGCGTGTATATTCTAGTGTACAGCTGCTTCTGACCATAAATGCATATGCTTGTGTCCACAGGAAAATGGGAGACGGCCATGCAAAAGACCAAGTAAAGTCACATTGAGTAGATGAAAGACAATTTTAACTAAGTTGTGAATCAAGTAGAATGTGCACTTAATAAAGCAATAGGGAACACCACAGGAATAAGACATTTAATTGATCAATAAAAGGCTTATTGAAATCTATTTGTACATAAATCCACCTAAGATTCTCTAAATGGCTGTTTTTTTACAGATTACTTGAGATTGGATAAACAAACAGCATAAAGCAGTCAGTCAGACACATTGAGAACAACAATCTCCATAGTGCATCCAGTTACAATGAGATTAACACTAACAAACAGGTATCATAATTCTAACCATGAAACTTCAACACATGCAATAGGCCTCTGTCTAATGCAAGTATCCCAGTTGAATAAATGTGATAAATCATAAGAAGTTTCTGAAGCACATGCATTTAAGGCCTTGATTGCTTACCTCGTCAATTTTGTAGCCAGAACCATGCAAAACCTTCATTACATCATTAACCAAGTAAATGTTACCCAACCTTATAAATGCAGATCCGAATTTCTTTACAGCAGCATGACAGATAGACCCAGAACTGTCCTGCAGATATTGGTGTAAGATAGCAACAGTTGCACACGAGAATAATATATCTAACAAATTGTAAAACAATATAGCACACCTTAACAACTACATAAGCATCCTTGAGAAGCCCTCCAGCCATTAGAATGTGAAGAATTTTCTCATGAAGAGCCTTGCACATAGGGGTGGGAGAAATAATCCGGTAACCGAACCGAACCAAAAACCAGTCCGAAACCGAACCGAAAATTAGGTTTTTTTGTAAACCGGTTCGGTTTTCGGTCAGTGAAAATTTAAAAACCGAAAAACCGGTTCGGTTTTCGGTTTGAGAATTTCCCAAACCGGTTTCACCCAATGTATATAAATAAAATATATTTTAATTTTTTTGCCCTTTCTTTTCAATATCTCTTCTTGTTTTCTCCGCCTCCACTCCACTCTCCAGACCCATCTTCACTTTTCAATATCTCTTCTTGTTTTTTCCGCTTCCACTCCACTCTCCAAACCCCATCTTCACTTTTCATTCTCTTCTCCACCTTCACTCCACTCTCCAGACTCCATCTTCACTAGCGCCACCCACACCCACCATCAAATTGAAACTCCAAACCCATCCATCTGCAATATCGCCAACGCCATTTCGCCCACACGCCTCCAATGACCACCCACACCCACCCAGCGATGACCACAGCTACTGTGCTGCAGTTCCTTGGACCAGGAACAATGACAACAGTCGACCACGACTCCAGTTTCCTCCGCCATTCAGATCTTCAATCCTTAGCTGCTCGCTTGCTCCACGATCAATAGTCCACTGTCGATTCAGCAACCTAATGCATCTTCTAATTCAGCAAGAGATCTGATGAATATTTTGATGGATGCTTTTAATTTTTAGAGGCTCTAATACAATGAATTATTCAAACATTTTACTTCGTTTAGAGACATCACGGAGTTTGGCTAATATAACAAAATGAAATACATTGAATTTGAAAACCGGTTTGAAAATCAGTTAACCGGATAACCGAACTGAATATTCGGTTCGGTTTATTCTATAAACCGGTCTGGTTTCAGTTTACATTTTTTCTAAACCGAATAACCGGTTCGGTTTCCGGTTTATCCTATCCGATTCGGTTAACCGGATTATCCCACCCCTACTTGCACATAGTTCTTCTGCTATATCTCAACATGTTGTTTACAGAGAGCGCTTCTGAGTGGACTCTGATTTTACCAAGATGAAATATAAAGGAGGAACAAAGTTCCTGCAACAGCAATTGATGTTACAAGTCTTTGAACAGCATTCCCTAAGTTTAACTTTGTATTCTGAAACAACTCATACAGCCCATATTCTATGGTTATTAACAACTAGACATACATAAGACACTTGACAGAGGTACCAAAATGAAATAGGAGACAAAATGATTGTTATTAGTAGTTCAAAATATGCTTATAGTTCTTTTTGTAATCGTCCAATCGGATCTTAACAATTCGGACTGATTGATCACTTCTTTGTAATCGTTGTATCAATCAGTGATATCTCTTTGCTTCTTTTTCAGGGAAAAGAAAAGAAGGATTTTGATCAGTGATATCTCTTTGCTTTCAGGGAAAAGAAAAGAAGGATTTTGATGACTTAAAAACCATGCCCCATGGTACAAACCAAGAAAGAGAGTCTTATGGAACAAACTCCTTGTAGTATCAGTTACCTCCCTGATAAAAAATATAACTCCTAAGAATTGGATCTCCTTCAACAAAATGTGCAAAAAGCTTGCCCATCTTAGTCTTGAAAATAATCAGCAATCACAGCTACAAAAGTCAAGTTTGAACTCTCCAGTTTCACTTATTAAAGCTCTTAGCTTTACAACCATCAGAAATGGAAAACCATAATCTTGACGGCTCGCAGCATTCAGATTCAAATGAGAGAATAACAATAAACATTTAAATTCAAATGAGAGAATAACAATAACTTGAATATAAAAGTTATCGTAATAATCGGCAAAAATAATGAGTACGAAAGAACCATAGTTTACAAGGGAAACCTTACACCTTTCTCAGTAAGCAAGCTGTTAGAATTTCAAAAGCAATTTTTAATCCCGCATATGGAAACAAAATGAAAACCACAGACAGCTTGTAAGGTAACTTGACCTTGACTATATTCACAATTCAAAACTCAGTAACAATAAAGGCTTCGAGACAATATTAGAATAAAACTAAAGAAATAAAGGAGGGCTCTAATAGATATTAAAAAAATAAAAGACCTTGTCAAGAAGTGATAAGTTGAGATTCACTCTACCTCCTCCGGTTGATGGCCCTTACTATGCATGTCCACCATGGTCCGATAAGCAAGCAGATACAACTTCTCCTTACAGAAATATTTTATGAGAGTATGAAAAGTATTATAGTCAGGACTGATGGCTAATTCATCCATTTTCTTCATTACATGCATCACACTCTCCATTTCACCTGCTCTGCAATAGGCACAGAGCATTGTATTTAACAAGACCAAGTCATATTTGTCGAACTTTGCTTCAAAATCCTTGGCCAACTGCTTTGCCTCTTCAAAAAGCTCACTGCGGCAGAATGCTGAAATCATGATACTATGGGCATAGCCATCTGCAGGTGGGATATAGAAGCTGATAGAAGTGCAATAAGATTCAGTCAACATATAAAGTGCAATAAGATCAGCATCTTAAATGTCAGAAGAGAAAGCATCCTTAATTGCAGCATAGTGTACATTTGTAAACAAGCAATAAAACTGTCAAGCATTCTAGCCCAGATTTACCGTTACAACAAATAGTACAGCAAAGTATCAATACATGGAAGTTTAACTATTAAATGCGGATGATCACATTTTATCCAAAACCATCCATCCTTATCTAAGAGCATATAAGAACCCAGTATCACTATCTCCCAGCAGGACAGAAAACTTCCTAATACAATGCATAACACTAATTTAAGTTTGATACATCATATAAGCATATTTCCTTACAAAAACTAACATAACACAGACAGATTCTGACTAAAAAGATCGTATTTGATGCATCTTGATAGAAGGGATACAGAGAACTTAACTCCTCAGATTCAAAGTTGAAATGTGAATACACAGGAAATTGAATTGGTCAATTAAAACAGTTTAGAAGAACTAATAAAACGCCAACAAAATCAAGTACCCCATTAAGTCTTTGTAACCAATAGGGAATTTGCTCTTTCTTCTTTGTAACATGTGTGTCATTGAAGAAGACACATACTTATTGCGATTTTCTATATTCAACTTTCTCCACTTCAATTCTCTTAAATGCTTCCTTTATTTCCCCTCACTTTCTTTCCCTCCAAATAATCCAAACCAGAACAAAACCAAGAAAATAATTTGATGAATTTAACATCCTTCCCATGCCAACAATGCAATATATCAAACACATAATTTGCAACCATAACCAATTAAAAAAAAAAAAAAAACCCCAATTTCGCAAGAAAACTAAACAACCCACGACATAATTGCATTCAAGATTCATGGCTCACTCATTAAATAGCACATTACAAAACAAAGAAAACGCTGAAAAAAAAAAGTGGGTATTGAGTCAAATGAGAGAAAAAGAAGACCTTTGAAGAGATGAAGCCAAGTCATAGGATTGTTGAACTTGAAGAACAGCGGATTTTCTGGATAAGTAAGAGTTGGATTTGTGGTTTCTTCGAGATTTGAGTGTAGTAGCTGGTGTTTGTTCTTTGACAACAATTGTAGTTGTTGTTGTTGTAGCGGCAGTTGCAGAGTCATGGGATGGTCTTAAAGCGGGAAGAGACGACACAGCTGAAAAAAAGGAGGGTAATAGAGAAGATAATCCATGGGGAAATCTTGGGGGCTGAGTACTCTAACTCCTCAAGTTTGAAATTCCTTAAATAGACATAACTTTATCGTTTAAACGATTTAACCCATATTGTTTGAGCGATAACTTATAAATAACCCTATATCACTTAAGCGATAGACTTATATCGCTTAAGCGAATAGTTATTTAATAAATATGTTGTGCTAAGGCTTACAGATGAGAAAATTTAGCTGTCCGGTCATCCCAAGTTTGGATTTAAGAAAATGGCCTTGAAACTGTTCATCATTTTTTTTTAATTTAGAGAAGATGACGTGGCATAGTTAGGATTAATTAAACACGTAAAATGGGTTAAAATGAAAAGATTAAAACATATGTGGACCGAATCAGAAATAATGAAAGTTTTTAAAATTCAAAATTTCGTAAAACAAGCCCCACTAACTATTCACCTCGCTTAATCGAAATTCATCAGTTCAAAAAGCGATTTCTTGAACGAAAGGGAGACGCGATTTTTTCCGATCAAACACCAAAAAATTTACACCCTAAATCAATTTCTTGAACCCAAAACCGAATACAGACGCGATTTTCGGCGATATAGTTGTGATTTTCGATCGATTTGTTGAACCCTAAAATCGATTTCCTTAACCGTAAACGAAATCTGTGCCATTTCCGGCGATACAGTCCACATTTTCGATCGAAATTGCAAACTTTGACACCAAATTCAATCCAAAACCATGAGTGACGCTGACAATGAGGAGGGAAGCCCAACGCCACTTTGANTGGGTGGCTGGGAGGGAAGAGATTAAGGCACTTTGTAACTTGTATAAGGTTGAATGAGCAGATGTGCACTGAGCCAATTTTATCTGGTATAAATAGATGCAAGTGCTAAAAGCTGCAAGCAAAATTATTATCAAGCTCCATTTAACTACCCACTTAAACAGCTACCCCACAGTCATTTTGGATTTACAAGGTATAAATGCTTCTCGCTCAAAAATATTTAAAATGTATCGTTCTTACAAGTATTATATGAGTTCAATGATAAATGAACAACGGGAACCAATCTATGAAAATTAAATATTAATCGTTTCTTATAAGAACTAGAACAAACCTTAAAAACGCAGTTAAGAAACATAAAAATTTGAAAAACTTGATCCTTAGACCAATTGTCTGGCACATTTCTTAAGAGTGCACTTCTAACAACCTTAACAGATAACCTACTATGATCTTAGTATCAATGAGAAACAACTTGTAGTCAGAAACATATATTTAAAGGTGAAATTCATAACCTCAACAGGATTCAAACCTCAAATTTATCATATAAAATACAACAAAAAGTCATCAACTTACCTCATCTTCAGCATAGCCTAAAGTGTCCAGCTCAGCTAATAGTTCACTTGATTTATCAAACAAACCCCCTCTGACATATACCTTTAATAATGTAGTCAATATTACCTGCAAGCATTTGCAGAATGAAAGGGATAGGATTCACAGAAGTTAAAGGAAGCACAGTAAATAAAATGGAGCAAGAGACACGTCTATGGAACATAGAAATCAAGCAAGACATTGAAGATGTAGATAATAACAAGAAAAGTAACGAGAAACAATCCCTTTATGAGTATTCTTTGACTGAGACTGACACAATAATACATTCAGGACAAATTAACAATCACTCTGACTGATTGCTCTACATTAGTATCTTACAGCATTAAACAGAAATAAGAAGGATTTCAAACAAAGAAGAAATAAAAGGGAAAAAAAATACTCTCAGAGAAGATGGACAACCTCTTATAAGAATATCAGCAACCTCACTTAGGCAATCGACCTTAACATTTTCGTTTCTATTTATAAAACAGGCATTAGGGCACACAGAGAAATTGCTTCCTAAACATATCCAAAGACTATAAAGTAGATCCATGCACAAGATAATTTTCAATAAACAAGATGAAATTAATGATTAAGCAACCTCACCATCTCATACTTATCGAAGAAGAATCTATGCAAAGATCTAAATTTTCAAATTTAAAGTTTCACCCTGTTTTAGCAACATCAGAGCAAAAACAGCACTCTCTTCCATTAAGTCCAGATCAGATTTCTGTATATAATAAATTCTAAACACTATGGTTGTTAACTTTAAGATAGAATAGCTTTGTTTAGAAATGAAGGTGCATTCAAGCACAACTTTTACTTATCCGTTATTACTGCAGAAGATAAGGATGAGCTTGACTTTAGAAACATATTCAAATAAGAACTTAATATTTTAAGAATACAGATGTTTCTCTTAATGTTCCATATGATATTTAATTAAGCACTTCCTTTCAGTTCCTTTCGGTGCCAAATTTGTATATAACAAATTATCCATCCTTTTTCTATTTCAAATTAGTTAACATGGATTTTGCACCATTATCTATGTCAGAAAAAAACATCATAAAGAAGATACTCTCATTTTTAGAGAAGAAGCCTTATTATGCATATGGAAAAACTTTTTAAAGCAACTCCGGACTAGGAAACTTGGTTTCAGTTCAATTCTTAGAATTTCTTATCAGTACAATGCATATCAGCACTGCATAAAAAACACTATGATCAGCAGCTCTTGAAAAGGAAGTAAAAGATCCATGATGTTAAATAGCTTCCTGACGAGGAAATGGATGGAGCAACTAAAGAGAGAATGGGACCTGATGACCAAGAAGAAATCTTTTAATTGTTTTTCGCTAATGAAACTTTAACGTGTTTCTATTCCAAAAAAAAATTTCTGATTTGACCAACATTATATAATGGCTATAGTGTTGAACTATATAAAAGCAACAAGACAATTACAACACCTAGAATTTTAGATTTATAGCTCAACCACCAAAAAATATCATTAATAAGTATAGCACTACTAAAGCTCCAGAATACAATGGCATGATGTATATGAAAACAAACCTTATTTGGTACTAACCCTGAAGATTTCATTTCTTGAGCCAACTCATCAGCCTTCTCATAGTTTCCACCTGAAGAGTAAGCATTTAGAAACGAGCTATCGTGATATAGATTAGGCGAATGACCCTCATCCTTCATGCAGTTAAAGTAGCTCTCAGCTTCTTCATGTAGACTATTTGAAGCACAAACGGCCAAAAGTATCCCATGCATCACACTGTCCCTTTGCAGCCCATTATGTTTCAATTCCTGAACCAACTCCAATGTCTTTGAATAGCGACGTTTGAGTTTAATGCAACCTGATAGAAGGTAAGGATGACAAAAGAAAAGAGTAATGAAGATCAATTAAAAATATAACAGATGAAATGGCATAAATTTGAAACAATATCTGCCAATCTCCTATGAGAAATAAGGATGTCTTACTTAAGAGGTATAGAATTTTAATATAGAACAATAAATATACACATCAGCATGAAATTAGTTTTCAATTACATTCGAATAAACATTTATACTTTTTCTATTTTTGGAATACAAACAATAAAAATAAAATATATTAGAAGAGGAAAAGGAAGAGCGAACCAGGTATCCACAGTGAAATCAAAAGCTTCCTAAATAGGGGTAACTAGTTCAATTCAAATATCAATATATTCGCATCTTGAGATGTCCAGAAAAGTAAAGAGACAGTTGATCTTCTCTTCCTGCACCACAAAGTAGCTTCTATTTTGTGGGCTAAGTTGAGCAAGGTAGACAAATTTTCCACTGGCTGTATCAGGTTCTTGTGAATCCATTTTTATGGAGAATGTTTTTTCCTTGGAAAGGAAAGAAAGCTAGGAATCAGAAGGAAGTGTGCTGTCTAAGCTATCCTTTAGCTGACATGAAAGGAACCACCATGTTTTTGAAGGAAAACAAGAGGAAGAATTTATTTGCTTGTAGAATAAAAACAGAAAAACATATGTTTACTCAGCTGGGCATATCATATGAAGAAGCTTTATAAATTAAAAAGGAGAAAAAAAAGAAGATCAAGAAGAAGAAGAAGAGTATGGCAGCATATACAGGTGGACTCTTTCTTTAGCATCAATATGGTTGTCAGTCAGAACATTCATTCAAGGAATGTGAACAACCCTGTTGAAGGTTGATGCTATGTTGGAAGTTGGCTGCCGAATGTATTTGAAACCTGGAAGAGTTTCTACTCTGCATGGACTGCATGGGAGTACTTCTCTTTTAGTAGCTTAAGATATACTGTAATTTAATGTTAATCCTTTGTTTAATGACTCAGCTTTTGTAATGAAGTAGTTAGCCTTTTGTGTGGCTTAGCTGAGATTAAGGAAAAGTAGTCTGTTGGTTGTTGAAACAGTAGTTGAAGTATGTTATATGCAGGTTTTGTCTAATGAAAATTGATGTCCAGCTTTTAGCGTTTTATCTCTCTTCTTCTTTGAATAACCAGCTTCACAAAAATGAACAAACCCATATACCAATTGTTGATAATGACAAGCGCAATACAAAATGCAGATTTCTATCTTCATTTTGCTGACTGTAGTAGTAAGAGGAAACACTTGTCTTCCATTTGTTGTTGCATCCAATTAAAAAGCTGCAATAATTCCAAGCATTAGCAAAAATAAAAATGATAATAATACACATTTTTTAAAACAATTTCAGCAAGATGGGAGCATCTCAAAGAAAACGAAAGTAGTTCTCAAGTTGTAGCACCTGTGAAAGATCCTGCCATCTATTTTGCTCCCCAAAGTGCCGTAGAATAGCATTCAAGTCTTGCACCTTCAAAATCCCACCGAACCTGTAAAAAAAATTAAAAAATATTATCTTGTAATGCAAAGTTAATTGAAATAAAAATTTGACTCTGCAACAAAAACACATAGTGAACTTATTGCCACCAAAACATATGGCTAACTGACAACTAGAAATATTTTATGCTTGATAAGGAACTTTCCCATGAACAGTGAAGTCAAGCAAAAGATCTTTATCAGGGTATTCAATTATATTGTCTTAGCCAAACTATACTACATTGCTTATTCAGATGCTTCAATACAATGAATGCAACTGCTAGCCAACATATCAAGCAGAAAGCCATCAACAACCACTAAATTTAAAAAGTAGAATATAAAAACACTTATAATACCATGGCTCATATCTGGTTTCAAGGACATTAGAACTTGTGCTAAAACGTATAAATATGATAGGATTCAGCAACTCAACAAACCCAGCAATGAAATATAACAGTTAAAAAAGAGAAATGTAACAGAAAATTCAAGAACTGAAGGTTGTATTTGAATGATTCAGACTGTGTATTACACTTTTGGAAATGCAAACAAAAACCAGAATAAAAGCTTACTACGTACTCAAAATCAAGGACTCAAAATACTCAAACAGATTCAAAGAAAAAAAGATAACACTGCTGTGCTTTGAGGGCCAGCTGCCTCCCAAAATTCCTTGTCTTCTCTTCTGCCTTCGCCTCACCATCTGCTCTCTTTTTGTAATGCCCAATCTAACAGAATGTTGTACTGCTCCTCTCCCATATTGCCATCTGTCTAGTATTCCAATAACAGAATGTTGTACTGCTCCTCTCCCGTATTGCCATTTGTCTTGTGCTGACTGTCCTCTGTCCTGTTGCCCTCTGTCCTGTACTGTTTTGCCAGCCCAGCTTGTGATCCTCTGCTATGCTTCCTTTGCCTATTGTAGACCTGCATTAAATGTGATCTATCATTACCCTCCCCAAGAAGAGCCACCTTGTCCTCAAGGTGGAAAGAGGGAAATTGAGTATTGAGGGTGTGGAAGTCCTCCCAAGTGCTCTCGAATTCCGGCAGTCCTTTCCAGTGGATGAGAACTTCCTATTGCCCATTTAGCAGTTTTCGTTTTTTAAGAACTGATTGGGGCTCCACATTCAAAACTAAGTTTTCGTTGAGGTTATTCGGAAGGGGCTGGCTGTTGGGAATTGGAAAAATGGCTTTTTTCAATTGAGACACATGAAAAACATGGTGTATGCGAGCTGAGAGAGGAAGATCTAATTGGTAAGCTGCTGCCCCAATTTTGTTTTTTATTACAAATGGACCATAAAATCGTGGGCTAAGCTTTTCATTGTGGCGCCTTGCTAGAGAGCGTAGCCTGTATGGTTGAAGTTTCAAATAGGCTGAGTCCCCCACTGTAAACAAACGTACTAAGGATGAATATTCACACACACTTCTTATTCGCTTAAAAGGATACATATTTATATACACTTGTAGTGTTCTAAACTAGGTAGGTGATCAATCTCTATTAGGATATAAGTGATCCCTATAATCAAGGATTTTAATGTGATCCCAATAATCTAGGAAGTTATATACATCTGTAACACTTCCCCTCAAGCTGGAGCATAGATATCAATCATACCCAGCTTGTTACAAAGATAATCAACTCGAATCCCAGTTAGAGCCTTTGTGAAGATATCTCCCAATTGTTCTCCAGTCTTCACGTACCCAATGGAAATCAGACCTTGTTGTAGTTTCTCATGGACGAAATGGCAATCGATCTCAATGTGTTTTGTTCATTCATGGAACACTGGATTAGATGCAATATGAAGAGCCACTTGGTTATCACACCATAATTTCGCTGGTACTGAAGTTTCAAGGCCTATTTCAGTCAGGAACTGATATATCCACATTATTTCACAAACAGCTTATGCCATAGCCCTATATTTCGACTCTGCACTTGATCGTGACACGACATTCTGCTTCTTGCTCTTCTATGATATTAAATTTCCCCCGACAAAGACACAATAGCCTGATGTGGATCTTCTATCTACCTTGGAATCTACCCAATTTGTATCTGAGAAACATTCAATATGAGAATGACTATGATTGGCATATAATATACCACGTCTAGAGGCTCTTTTCAAATAACATAAGATCTGCTCCAAAGCCACCCAATGATGAACTGTTGGGGAGGCCATAAACTAACTGACAACACTTACTGAATATGCAATATCTGGACGAGTCACCGTAAGATAATTCAACTTCCCCACCAATCTTCTATATTTCTCAGGATCTCCAAATAGTTCACGATCTTTCATAAGCTGCATATTAGGAACCATCGGAACACTACATGGCTTTGCCCCCAATTTCCCTGTCTAAGTTAATAAGTCGAGCACATATTTCCTCTGAGAGAGGAATATACCTCGTTTGCTCCTTGTAACTTCAACCCCTAAGAAATACTTCAATATCCCTAAGTCTTTTATGTGGAATTGGGTATGGAGAAAAGACTTAAGAGATGTGATGCCCACACTATCATTCCCAGTAATAACAATATCATCCACATACACAACTAGAAGAATGATGCCAATTTCAGACCGTTTGTAGAAAACAGAATGGTCAGTTTTACATTTCAGCATACCAAATCTCTTAACAGCCTGACTAAACTTTCCAAACCAAGCACGAGGACTCTGTTTTAAACCATACAGAGATTTGCGAAGATAACATACTTTCCCATACTCCTCTTGAGCAACAAACCCAGGAGGTTGCTCCATATATACCTCTTCCTGAAGATCGCCATGAAGAAAAGCATTCTTGATGCCTAGATGATGCAAAGGCCAATCATAAGTAGCTGTTATAGAGATAAACAGCCGAATAGAGGTGAACTTAGCCACAGGGGAAAAAGTATCAGAATAATCAACTCCGTAGGTCTGAGCATATCCTTTAGCAACCAGACGAGCTTTTAGTCGAGCAACTGACCCATCTGGATTGACTTTAACTGTAAACACCCATTTGCATCCAATTGCCTGTTTCCCTGAAGGTAAATCTACCAATTTCCAAGTACCATTGTCATCTAAGGCATTCATTTCCTCTATCATTGCATTACGCCAACCAGGATGAGAAAGGGCTTCATGAACAGTTTTAGGGATAGTAATAGAATCAAGGGAAGCAATAAAAGAACATGATGAATGTGACAAATGATCATAAGAAACACAAGAAGAAACAGGATAAGTACACTGTCGTTTACCTTTTCGCAATGTAATAGGAAGATCATCACTTGAAACTGGATCTGTAAAACCCTTGTAATGACTGCTTTATACTAGGATACTCATAGCAATATATTAAGTAAAATACATTTATATTAGTAAAAGTAAATAGGCCTAAAATTTCCTTTTATTACATATAAACATTCTTTATACAGAATAGAATATCCTTTACAAAATGCCATTACAACAACGGACAGTGTAGCTATTGCTCCTTGCTTGCCGATGCCCATCCAACTGCTTTCTCACCTAGATCCTGCAACCACAATGAAAACAATGGGGTGAGCACAAAATAATGCTCAGTAAGTAAATCCTCTACTCGACTTGTCCCCGTAACTCTTTCTCTTAATTCTTTCCTTACACTCTTCTTATCTCATTGATTATTTTCTCTTTCACACAGCTCTCGTTACTTAACTTTTGCTATATGTCACGGCCTCATCTTATCGAAGGCACGGCCGAGTAGAGTTCACACAGCACCAACCCACTCTTCGTGACTTTCGGGTGGAGATCACAAAGCACCAACCCATTTTTCGTAACTTTCGGGTGGAGATCACAAAGCATTAACCCATTTTTTGTAATTACCTGGTGAAGATCACAAAGCACCAACTCGTTTTTAGTATTTTTCTCATTCTCTCTACTCTTAGAGTAGTTCATATACAAAGTTCTCTACTCTTTCTCAAGCCACTTCTCAATGCACAATTAATCTTCTCCACTAATGCACTCATGAAATGCTAACATGCAATGTTGCAAGAATTAAGGTTTACTACTCATGATTCTCTTAGGCAT